CGACCATTATTTGTGGCTACCCTCCGGTGTCGTCAAATGTAGCTGGGCAATGGTGCATGGTGCACCCTTCAGCAATCACTGGGTTACTCCAAACACCCCAGGTACGTTTGCGGGGTAAATTGCGTAATTATATTATATATATATAAATAATTAGAGGTAAAATGACGAAATTACATGAAATGACCATCCTTGTCATTGTGGCCATAATTTACCTACGTATACTCAGTTGGAGCAACCCTTAATCAAAGCTGGAAAATAAAAATCACCTCTTTATGATGATCTGACACAATTCATACTGATTTGAAAAAAACAAAATGATGATGTTCCATTGCCACGTCTGTTCACTATTAGCAATGGACGAATCGTGATACCTAGGCCCTTTCCCTTGCCAGCAACTAGGCAACTGGTTGGTAAGTTGCTGTCCTGCCACGCAGCCAAAGGCCACAGGGTAGTTTTTCTCCTTAGCATTCGCCAACAAAAATCGGCCCTGCGAAGTCAACTGGGGTCAGTATGGGTCGGTTTGTGTCGGTTTGTCTATAAATGACATGCCAAGGCGCGGACAAGGCCGCATTTCGCTGTACGTTAGCTTTGACCTGACCTGTGCCCTCAGCCAGTACAATCTGGTACACTTGTTTTGGTCCTTGGACCCCAATCCCCGTTGCCAAGGGACCTCACTCAGTGCTTTCATTGCTTTCAAGACCTCTGCACGAACCGAAACTGCACAGAAGAACCAAATCACTTTCAGCTTCATGTTCTAAATCATTATTAAAGAACTATTGTGTCAATGTATGACAACACGGGGGGTCCATGATAACTTCTGACCCGTCCCCAGCGTGATCTGGCCGTGACCCTGCCCACCTCATCCGAGTTGACCAACAAGATGGCACGATTCAGGGCGCATAGATTGGAGGCTTGGTTGACCTCCACCTGGCCAGAAAATAGGATGAGATGTTGGATGGTTTCTATCAATCTTAAAATTTACTATATATATATATATGTGTGTTTGGGGGGATCTTACACTGTATGTGGATATACTGTAATACATGTATATATATATATATATTGTAAGTATTATACATAATACATAGGGCTGTTTACTGTAGTCAGGTTTATATGTTTTTTCTCTTTTGTTGTGTTTTCACACCCCCTTGGGTTGACTCGGTGGTCGGTTCGGTCGCTCCTTCTTCTCCATGAACAGGCGCACGTATCGCTGATACCTAAGGCAATGGCTCATGTTTCACAACAAACCAATCACAGTGCAACCCTTCACCAACTCACCAACTCGGAAACACACACACAATTTGCCATGTAATGTAATATACATTAATATACGTGTGTGTGTGCAATGAATAATTAGAGGATGGGTATGGCATGGTGTAGCTCAACTTATCGTATTTTTTTCCTGCAGGAAACTTATTTTCCAAAACACAGCAATTACATGTAGTTAATTACCATGTACCTATAGACTCTCACTTGACCCATAAGGAATTCCTACCCCCACAATTCTCGTTTGCTACCGGATTTGAATGGGTCCACTGAGGGTGCTGCGTTTGATTTTCTCTGGCTATCACCGTTTGCCATGCTTTTTCCACCCTTCGCCCACGTTGCCCGCTGGTTCCGCCGCCTGTCCATCGCCGCGGTACCACCAGCTGTGCCAAGCGCGTCGGTGGTGCTGCGGCACCAGGCCTAGTTTCTCCTCCGAAGACCAGCTGCGAAGCTTCAGATCTTTACCTTCGCAGCATGCTGCAGCGTGCTGGGAATGTCCTGGGAAAGGAAAATGTTGTATAATGTGTATATATATATGTATTTATATATAAACATATATAGATATGATGATACTGTATATCATTGGATGCTTGATCAACCTGACAAGTTCGATCCACTTGGAGATGATTCCCCTTGTTGACCATAATTCCAGTGACAGGCGGATGATCACAGCCGAGACTTTTGGGTCGAAGGATAATGGCTTCCAAGTTATAACCCACTTCCATAGAACTTACATCTGTGGCCCAATCTCCATGAGTATGGATCATTTCACCCTTTTGACTAAAAATCACACAGTTTTTGTTGGATGAAATGGTCGTGTACTTGGCCGGTGTTCAGCTACTCACAGCCATGGTGAAGATATGGTGTACCAAGCCAACACACTGGGATTCTCAAACGCTCTTTAGCCAATTTTCACAGAGGGGCGCTGTATCACAAACCATACCCAGACAGGTTCCGAAAAGGGTGTATGGCATGGGGTCAAATTTTCCATCTGGAATCTACCCCCCTGCAAATATTCTATGAGTGCCCTGGTACACACTCGAATGGATGGTAAACAGGCCACATTTGGAGGATCATTCCACCTAGTAAATGAGATAATCCTCTTACAACTGGGATAACCTACCTAGGGGGCTTACAAAGCAGGGTTGAATAGCTAATCGAGAACGAAACAATTTGGATGATACTATAATACTATATATACAGGGGATACTAGGGGTATATAGTTAATTATTGGCTATAATGGAGCAGTGTCGAAAACATAAGGGAACATTCCTTACTACTGTAATGGTTGGTGCAAAAGGGGTTTCCCATCTCATGGGCTATTATATAATACATAGAACCCATCAGGAAACCAGGTAGTATAATCCCACGTGTTAACCAATCAACAATGGGTTGGGTCACTAATTTGGGAACATATAGCCAAATTTTGAATGATTGACAATAGCCTCGGAATGGTTTGGTCCTGGGATTGTAAATCCTGCTGAAGTATACCGTTACCCGCCGGTAATCAAAGGCGGCAATGGACAATCATCAATTTATAGTTGATTTTCCCACTAAAAGCTCCACTATGCTCCATTTGCGGTGGATATTCAATTGCCATGTTTGATTACTGAAGGGCATATTTCATACTATTTCATACTATTTCTAGCTTTTCAAAGGTTGCTGGCTACTTGTTGAAACCTGAAAAAAACCGGCTTTGGCACCCCCATCTGCTGATATTCCCAGCTGCTGAAGGGACACCAAAGTCGCCGCCGTGTCCCCGGCTCCGCTGAAGGGACACTCCGTGGACTTCGGGGTCGCGGAGGAAAGATGTCCTGGGAATCCAGGACATCCAGGTCGTGCCATGGAAAATCCCAACCATCAATGGAGGTTTTGCCATGGGAAAATCATCTATTTCTATGGGCCATGTATAAAAAATGGCAAACTGTTAGTCATAACCAGAGGGTATATCAATCAACATGTCCATCTGGGACATTTATATAGTCATTAGATGGCATAGGATGTTATAGGGTGTTCCTGATTGCTATTCCAGTCATCATCTGCTTCTTCTTCTTCTTCATCATCATGATGATCATATTCATCCAATTTTGTGAATCAAACAATCTGATTACCCGGACCCTCCAAGTACCCATAAAAATGGACGTCTACCCCATGATTTTCGCACTTTGACCAAATTTGAGGGGTACTTGGAGGGTGAACATACAATTTGGAATCAATTTGGCAGTTCAATAAAGTTTAATCATGTGGTAAACGCAATACCCAACAACACCTTTGTGGGATGGTGTCTGGATGTTTATACAACCTAATTCTGGTAAATTGTTGGATATGGTTTTTGGTTTGGGCTGGTGATTCTGGATGCCTGGCACCCCCATGTTAAACATTTCTTCGGATTGGATCATCAAACTTGGGACATCATGTAAGTGTCATCCGTCATCCGTCATTGTTTAGCGAACTGTGATCTATTTCTTCGAAAGACAAGGATGGACAAACATATATTCAACGCCAACAACGAGTGGCCTTGATTGTCGCGACTGAAACTGGGTGGACTTTGGCCATGGCCGTGGGATCATCGAAAAGCTGTCATGGGTATACCCCAAATCATCCAGTCGTCATGAACAACCATGACTTAGTCTTGAAACAACGGTGACGATCCCCCCTGACTTACCTGCCATGTCACGTACACTGGAGCATCAGCCCCTTCGAAGTCGAGCCCGTCCCTCAGATCCACCTGGTGCCGTTGCATTCGATTTTTCACGTGGCGATCTTTCGTCCCGGTGCCAAGCCACGCAGGTTCGAATGCCCAAAGCGTCCAAACGCCCAAGATCCTGACAGTCACCGATGCGGTTGGAATATCTGGAGTGGTTGGTGCTTGTTGGTCAATTTCCAGATTATCCGGGAGAAGAATGTGTATACCATACAATGCAACAAAGTCATAATATACTAGAATGATCTATTAATAATGACTAAAAAGAAACAACACCATACCATTTGTATCAAAGTGCACATATATATATATATTATAATATACTAACACAACTATAATAACCGTGACCCTCTGGTAAACTAACGTAACTATGGAAAATCACCATGCTATTAATGGCAAATCCACTATAAATGGCCATTTTCAATAGCTATGTTAGTTTACCAGAGGGTACCTATACTCCACAAACATGACGTATGGGCACGCTGCGCCTCGCGAAGGGCCGCCGCGAAGTGCCCCGTGCGGAAGAGCTTCCCAGGGCGCAACGCGACCCGCGCGCCGAGGCCCTCCGCGAGGTCCCGGAAGTTGGCCACGCGTTGGAAGTCCAAACTCGGAGATGTTAGCAACAATCAGTGGGATAATATAGGGGGATGGTTTACCCTTGATGGATGATAATCTTATGTATATATATATATATATACATACAGTATATATTTTATATGTTGTATGTATACATATATATCTATATACATATTCATTCTTCATGTATTTATGTATATGATGATGATGATGATGATGATGATGATGATGATGGTGACATCATTAATATAATTGGGATATAATGGGAATTAACTGCGATAGAAAAGGGATATATAGTATAGAATGTCAGGGGAATACAATGTGATATGTCACCAACAATATTGTGGGTGTGTCACGATACCAAAAACATGTGCTATGATTATTCAAACATGAGGATAAACGCATAGGACTTTCGGATTTTAGGGTTAATTAGTCTATTTCAAAAAAGCAGCTGTATGGAGATTTGCAAATATGGGATGATTTGTATAATATATATATATACATATGTGCAAATATCGAAAACAACACACTTGGATCGTCGCGACCGGAAAACACGATCATGAAGTGGATGATATGAACATATATGAACTATATTGGCTATCCAAAAATTGAGGACCACTTCAATTGCCAATTTCAAGTTCTGCAACATGTTTTGGCATTTCTCCGGGAAGCAGTGGACTTACAGCTTGATTCCTTGGGCCCATCCAAAAAGATCTCCGAGCTGTGGTAAACCCCCAACAAAGTCCCCAATCACAAACCATTTGATTTGGGTAAGAGAAAATTGCCCAACAAAAGGCTTCGGGATGGTTGGTGGCGGTCACAGAACTGCGTTTGTTCTCCAGGATGCCACCAACCTCACCAACCTCCCGGCAAGACACAGACTGGTCAAGCAGTGTGTTGGCATTTCAACCTTGCCAGCTCGTCTCACAGGACATGTTCATGTCTACGAAAAAACTGAGTATCTGCATATCTGCATATCATACATACATAGCATCCATTACTGTAGATTCGATCTAGAATTGTTTTAACGTGCAGTGTGTGATTCTATATGGTTGTCTGTGCATGACAAACAAAGGCGCATGTGCTGGATATTGTACGGAGTGTTGCGTCCTGACCTACTGCACAACATAATCATAGTGATTCCAGGTAGTAGAGGATGATGTTTGTTGTGCCTCAAGATCTCAAATGTGTTCACATCCATTCAACTTCAAACACGTTCTATGGATATAATTAAAAATATACAGTATAGTATAACATAACATATATAATTAATTATATATATAATACATGCAATATATAATCAAATATCACCTTAAATCACCTGCTGCTTTCTCATCTTCCATCTGACCCTGCTTTTTTTTACCGACTTCGACCGTCGGTCACGCTTTTTTCTGCCTCCATCGACACGTTGGGGACGTGTGTTTCTGGAGGATCCAAAGGAACCAAACACTTCTGGAGTAGCTCCTGGCACCATGGCCGTCATTCCCAATGACCAGGCTGGTAAGCCATGATTTTGGAAAAGGCTGGTTGATATTGCTGAACCAAATCATCTGCTGGTCATTAAAATTCAACTGGGTACGGTACAGAATATAATGTGTATATATATATAATTGCCATCGCAAAAACCCCGGCAATACTAAATATGTATTGGACGGACATTGGTTTATGGAAATTGATGGAAACTGTTAAAAACACACGGTAAGCGATGGGACCTTCCCAAATTAGCGATACCCCTTTTCAAGGTTATGTCATTGTATTTCTCTAATATCCACATTAGCGATACCCAAATTGGACGTTGATTTCTGTTTATTATATATATATATATAAATGTAGCAGTTTCCTGCAAGCGATACCCCCCAAGTTTACCATATATCATTATTGTACAAACGTGTGGTAAGCGATGGGACCTTCCCAAATTTGTGGATGTCCTTTCCGTGAACCTAATTATATATATACACATACATACAGTAATTATATATGATGATATATGTAGTATATCTTCGGTCTAAAACAAAAACAAAAGTGACATTTTCTCCGCGTTGGAATTTACCAAATTGTTGATTTCATCAGGAAGGACATCGGATTTCACCAGGAAAGAATAAGGATTTCACTCACCAACAGCAGGACCAACATTCGATGTGAGCACCTGCATAGCCCACGGATGGCCATCCCCAAGTGTTGGGGGATGTAAATGGGCACCAAGCTATTGTTGCTTGGGACAAAGTTTGCTATCCTATTTCAAGAAGGTCTTGAAAGCCCTTCTTCACAACCAAGCTGACCAAGTTTGGATATCCTGAAAAGGAAACGTAATTATGGGTCTTAATAAATCCCATTCCACCGTTCATAATGTTGTATCCTGATTAGTGGCTAGGTTCGCTATTGTGCAATTTTTTCCAAATTATGCTGAACCCCCATGCATTGTTTGGAAGGTTCACTATTGCGGCAAGAAATCTTGGGAGACCATTTTTTGTCAAAAAAAAATGTGTAAACAAATCTGAACATGTTTTTCTGAAAAAAATGCAGTATTGCTTGTCTCCCTGTTCTCAATAGAACAGTTTTTACACAAATTTCCAAGGCACTGGGCCATGAGAGGGTCCAGTTCACTTTAGTAGGTTTGTTCTCAGGTTTCACAATTGCAGCAAACTTTTTCCAGAGCTGATCCTGGGGCCAAGAGAAGAAAGAAAATCCTTTTACAAAGTACTACAAGTACTACAAGTACTACAAGTACTACAAATACCACAAGTTCATCGGCAAAAAAAACAAGTTTCAATTAGATGTCAATTATTCAATTGTCGCCAATTGAAATCCTTACTTAAATGCGGGATCGTGTTTTTCTGGGGAGGAGTTTTCTGGCACCCAACTTTAAAGAGGGTATAGCTATTGTTTGGGGGGGGGCCTTACACCAATCAGGACGAAACATTACTAAACACCACGACTCTATGGTCCTAAAATGTCCTAAATATGTGTTCCAATCTCGTAGTATCAAACCATGGTTTCTGGACGTATCTGGGGGATGTTTAATATTAGGGGAATTTATGGGAATTTATATCCAGCATTTTTACCCCATTGAACATACCAGAGCTTCACCATGTTTTGGAAAATCTGCAGGCCGCTCCTTTCCCTTGATCCTCAACGACACGTAGCCTTCCAGTGGCCCGGCTCCGCGCAGCAGCTGAAACCCCAAACGCTCTCCACGCAACTCCTAGAGGTGGAGGAACAGTCATGGTGGCAACCAACAAACATGGAGATTGAAGCCGAAAAAAATGGGGACATGATTAACCAAAATAGCATCTATTGGATTTATTTTGAATTCATACAAAAACAAGCACATCATATGTCCCTAAAAATGGACACAGTAGATCTTACACATCTAGCCGTTCCTATGGGTGAAAGGATCCAACGCCTCGAAAAGATGAACATAGGGGATGATAGTGCCATTTTTGGAGATGGAAAACAGGCTTGGTATGGGAACAATAAGGAATGCAATTGATCAACTGAAACAAGTATGTGAATCTATTTGGTATGTTAAATAATATTTATTTGACATACAAATTTTGCAAATAAGTCTACGACCTACAAACGTGGTCATGTTTACATACCAAACTTATTATTGGAAGCAAAACAATGTGTCTTTGACCCACAAAAATGTGATGGAGCAACACTACCAAGACAGATGAATAAAATAAACCATCTGCAGCCAACCGAATTATGATGGTTCCCTCGCACTCGCCTGAGTACGGGACACATCAAAAGATACTGCAAACCGAGATCTTGCCGAGGTAAGATCACCGTGGCTCCTTCTGCAGTAGAACTGCTCCATATGGTAGACGGCCCAACTCAGAACTCTTCAAATCCGCCTGCGGAATGGCCCAGCTTTGGTGGCTGAAATTGGTGGCTGGAAATCATACCGCATTCCCTTTTAAATTCCAGGATTTACGGATTGAAACTCATGAAACGAGGTGAGTCAGTCAATTTGGCATCATTAGTGCAAACAGGAATGGACAATACGATAAAATAAGATAACATAACAACACACTTCAGGAACCATCAAAGGGGCTCTTAGTTTGAAATAGTTTGAAGGCATGTCTTGTGGAGAATGATGTGACTTCATGAAAGCAGAAGAACTGATGGAAAAGACCCAGGTGCCCAGAAAAGCATGTGAGTGTGTCTGCAAAATAAGGGGAGTTTCCATGGCCAATGTGCATTTGATGCTGAGAATGATGTTCAAACAATGGATTTAGGGTAATTATACCGTATACTTATACCCCCATCGGCCATGAGTCTTGACATGTCCAATCTTGCAAAATACCATGCAAAAAAACATATCGGTAGTATAATAGGTATCTCTATTGTGGCTTATCATAGTACAACCCCTTGTAATAGCGAATCAAAAATTGTATTCTTAATGACTCCCCCACCAAGGCTTCCCCAGCCCAAGACGTTGGAACATTGGAACATAGCCACCTTTCATGACTTGGATCCTGTGAATCACACTATTTGGCTGTCCAGAATATAGCATGACCAAACTGATTAGCCAGATCCCTAAACCTTTGATCCCGCTATGAAAAAGGCACAAAAATGCTATTCAACCATCCACCACCACTTGAATGGCTCTGAATCATGATCACCATCTTCCCCATTCAAAGTGCCATTTTGTAGCCTATCTTTGGGATTGACCCAGATCATCAAGCAGAAATGTGGTTTTGATTGAAACTGTGGTATAGCATGGCAGTTTCACCCTTCAAATGGTCCCTTTTGGATAACATGCTGAAGCATCAGAGCACCTCCTGTCGCACCAACAATCCATTCTCGCCGATGACTCGCCAAAGATGGTTCGGCACACCATCGCCAGGATCGCCCATGGAGAGTCAGCCACGGTGAGGTTCCAAGTGGTGGTTGGGTTGGATGCTGGGTTGGATGATGACAAGGAGCTGGATGACCAGGAGAAGAATTGCATGATGTGCCAATGTGCCCAGTATTTTTGTTTGGTAAGATCGGGGTTGAGATGACTTTCTCCTACATTGCAAGAAAAACATATTACATGTATGGCTTAAGGGATAACCTGCAAACAAAAAATCGTTTATGGCAAACAAAATAAGGCTGCATGATTGTCCCTTCAAGTATGACCTTAAAAATATGTACATATATATATATAGTAAACACTTGCACATGCGCATATGGGTGCCTTGATCAAAAATGCATCTGTGTTTCCCTTGCATTCCCATGGATAATCACTGCACATTTATTTTCATAATACACACATGTTCTGTCCAGTGCATCATAATATCATACACCAGCATAACTATATATCATACACTCCAGTAAATTAACATAGACCCTGCCAGATAGGGGTTGGAAAGATGCGTTTCCAATTAAAATTGGTTATTTTCAGGGTCTATGTTAATTTACTGGAGGGTATATACATATAAAAATAGCTGTCGCCCTCTCTCTCTCTCTCTACAAATGGTGCTGGCTTCAATGAATGGCAACGACAATGGCATCAGCGGCTTGCGATGGACACTTGTGCTTTGAGAATTTCTTTCATCTACATACATATATATATATATATTGTAGAAACAAGTGATCAACCACAACAGACCACGATATAAGTACAGATACTACACCCTGCCGCAGCAATGTTTCTTGAGCCAATGCAACACAATCTATAAGGTGAAAAGTATGTATACATGCATGAAGACTGTGCAACAACACCCCCCGTGCAGTGTAGTTACCGCCCGGGTAGTGAAGCTGCAAATTAGGCTATGTACAGTCTAGTTAGGGATGCCATTAGTTAACATAACCAGAAAACAAAACAAACCCAAACCCGACCGTCGCCTAACCTTTCAAAGTCTTCCACGTCTTCACCTCAGGTGTGCAATGATTGACGAACAAGTGCAAATGCGAATGCAATCCATTCAATCGGACTCCAAGTACATTGAAAGACGGATGCAATGCAAGTCAATTCGGCCGAATGCATTCAGTTTCATTTTGGCTCCACCGGGCTTGTGGTCGAACATGCAAACGTGTTGAAGTGTGGCCCATTACAAAGGCCAGCGTTTCCACGCGGCATCAAAAGTTCTTGTGGACGCCCGGGAGCATGCCGAAGCAAACAAAATGAATTAAAGCAAAATGCTGAATTCGGTTTCGATGTGAACCCGCAGGGAAGCTTTCAGAAATGCTTCAAAGCTGCCTTATCTTCGCAAGGCAAGAGCTTCCGCTCTGCGGTTCATGCAACTACCAGCCGTGTGCTATGCAAGAAGGAATCATGGCAAGAATAAGATGAGTGCCAAATGCCTGCTTCAAATTATATGCATTCAAAGCGTTAATGAAACTTTTGTGAACTTGACTGAGTTGGCAAAAATTCCGACTTAGCACACTTGTGTTGGAAATAATCGTGGAATCGCTCACCCACGCGTGCAAAATGAAGCTAGTCGCCTAACCGAATTAAATCCGAAAAGGCAACAGCTTCCGCTGTGCGACACCTCACATTGAAAGAAAACTGCCCCGCCTCGGATGAAGATAAATCCACCAGGCGAGAGGTTCCCCTCCGCGGTGCCTCAGCGATAGCCCGACCAACGTCGATCCCGGTATTGGTGGCCTTGATTTCGACGGCGCCAATCTTCCCACTCCTGGTCAGTCCACTGATTGTAGTAGTCATTCCATTCCTGCTGACTGTAGCCATGAGTGGGCCCCTGATGAGAACCATAGCCAGGACGCGAGGACCTGGTGACATCCGGGTTCTGCTGTCTTGTTGCAGGTAGGGGTCGGCTTCCGCCTTCCGTGTCCTTTGCCTCCGTGAGGGGGCGCAAGATGTCCTCGACATAGCTGAGAATGTCGGCATACACATCCTGCTTGGACAACGCAAGGGATTGGAACGTCGTGTTGGCGACGCTCAAGAACCTCAAAACGCTCGGCCACCGGGATCAAGGCATAGGCGGCCGCGAACTGGTTGGCTCTGTAAAAGCGGTTCTTGTACCAGATGAGAACATGATCATCCACAATGATCGTCTTCATCTGTTCCTCTTCGTATGCGACCATGCACATACGCGCTTTGTACTGCCGAATCTTTCCAGTTCGGATCTCCTCTCGCGTGCGCTTGATGGAGGGAAGCACCACATTGCCCAGAACTGTAATCCAATGCATACACCGAGGTGTAAGGTCTTGGACCGCACAATTAAAGGCGTAATGGGCGTCCGTTCCCAGACGCTGTAGCAAAGTCAGTCCAGCTTTTCTCGCCTGCTTCATGTATGAGCGGGCGTGATTTTTGAGGACTGCAGCAGCAGATCTGATCTGCTTGGCACCTTGAGTGGTGCCTGCTACATCGTCGTCACCCAGAAGATCCAACGTCAGCTCGAAGCCCAGCTTCTCGGCCAACTCTTCCAGGCGGAACACCTGACACGCACGGCGCATGTCGGACATTGTCGCCAGCGACAAGCCGCATGCAAGGCAAACCAACATCCCCTCAGGAAAAATCTTCCTGCACCGGGGGCATGTCAATTCCGGCATTGCCAGCATTGAAACATACCGCCAGCGCGTGAGGTTCCCCTCCGCGGATGGGTCAAATGCCTCCTGATCGAAGCGATCAGAACGGCGTTCCCGCGCGTTGTCAGGGGCGATGTCGAAGCCAGCAGCTGTTGCCGTCGGCTTGCGTGCCACACAGAGGAGATTGGTGAAGTTGAGCGGCCTTTGCTTGAACTTGGGCAGCAACTCATCGACGACAGGATATGGTGTCGGAACTTCCTTGTAAATGAGCGGACGTCGCAGAGTGATGACATCCTTCCACTGATCGTACTCATTCACGAACATGTTCTTCAACACCTCCAGGTCCGAAATCTCGTACCTCTCAAGTTCGTCATAGTTGGGAGTGCCCTTCCGAGCCTCGTTCTCCTGCCAAGTGAGAGCGTTCTCGGAGGCCTTCTGCCGAAGGTACTTCTTCACCCCGTTGTAGCCATGGTTCGCCCAAAGGTATTGCGACTTCTCGCAATCAAATGCGTAGATGAGGCAATGATTGGGCACCCAGTCCTCAGTGATGAGTGCACCGGCCAAGGTTTCCACCAGGCGAAGACCATAGTGCAAAGCACAATCGGTGTCGATCGCGATGCACAGCGGTCGGTTCGTCCTGACACCAGGATCCTTGCCTTCGATTTCCCAAGGCGCATGGCGGGTCATATACACATGACCCTTGCATGAAGTGGCCCCCGGAAAAATTCCCGTGCAAATGATCTGCTGGAGGGAGTCCCATGAAGTGTAATGGTAAATAACCTTAAACTCTTCTGAGACCTCGGCTTCCGCCAGGTGAGGATAAATGGGGACCCTTGGATAGAATCCCTTCTTCAAGTCCTCAACCGTGAACTGGTAGTCAAGCGAGATGATTTGCTTGACCAATGGAGCCGTTCCCACCTTGTCGATGAGGGACTGGTCGTGACCTTGGCACGCCTTCACATGCGTGATGCGATACGGCATGTCCATGGTTGTCAGTTCCCCGACAATTCCAGCCTGAATGCGGCACATGAACCTGTCCTGAGTTCGAAGAATCAGGTATAGGTCCTGTCGCGAAAGCTGAGCACGATGCCGCTTTCGGAGGTACGCGTACATGGACTCAAAGTTCAAGTACAGCTCCTCATCAAATTCAGGAGGAATGTGGCGGTGGTGCGCCTCGAGGAACTTGTGATCGTAGCCTCGAAGCAGCCCGGTCACCCTCTTCGAAAACTTGAAATCATCATGACTGAGTCTTCCAAGGTCCCTCAGGCCTGGCAGGTCAGTACACCGGACGGTGAATTCCCTGCGCTCGCCCGTTCCCGGGGAGAAAAAGTACCACTTGGGATATCCCTGTGGTCGCAAGGGCGGATCAGTCGGAGGCTGAGGTCCACCCGTTCCCGGGGGAGGAGCACTTGCCATAGGCGGCTCCTTCTTGGCCATCTTCGGGGCAGGCTCCGACGAAGACGTAGCTGCAGGCGCCGATGACTTCTGCGGAGGTGCCCTGGGTGAAGTTGTTGTCAACGTTGCAGGCGGTGCCTTGAAAGGCAAAGCTTTGGGCATAGGATGGTCCGCAGCTTCCGCTGGGAGTGCAGGTGGCTCCGGCTTGGGGGATCCAGTTGCACTCTTCGGAGTCGGTGGCGGACTGGGCTTTGGGGACGCCATAGGAGACGTTCCCGTCGCCGTTGAAACCTTTGGGAGCCGCGGAGCAGGCTTGGGCTGAATCATGGTAGCCTGATCCCTCATCTTGGGTTTGATGAACTGGCTGACAGTGTCCCCGATCACCTGTGCGATGCCGGCCGAAGATGATGCCGCTTCGGATGAGGAAGCCGCCTTCGACTTGGCCTTCGACACGATCTGGACAGTGGCAGCAGGGTCACCCGCGCGAAGCTTCTCTTCGGCGGTCTTGGGCTCCTCAAAGATCTCCCTTTCCATCTGACGATGCTTCTCCTCATCCGTCAAGTCAAAGCGACGAATGATGACCGCACCATCTTCAGTCTGCTGCATGGATTCCTGCCGAAGTTCGAGCTTGGCAGGGTCACGTGTGACGTCGGTGTCCAAGATGTTCACTACGCCAGAACCATCCAATCTGAAGTCCACAGCATGGATCTTGTTCATCAGATGGGAGCGCAGCTTCCGCTGGCTAAACATTGAAGCTGAGCCGCCGACAATGGGTTCTCTGAAGACAATCTCCTCGTCAGCGTCCGGCTCGTCAATGTCACGCTCGTCGGAAACACCAGGCAACCGATCCAAAAAGGGCTTGAGGATGGCGTCAATGAGCTCACCATCCATCTCCGGCTCTTTGATCTCATGTGGTTCAAAGTGCTCGGGTTCCCCCGGCAGTGCAGCGTCCACGGACTCCAAAAGCTGCCAGTTCGATGAGGCCACAGTGGCATCATCCTGCACCGTAGGAGCCTGTGCGACTTGTGCACGTGCGGGGTCAACTTCGTTGGGAAGCCGTTGCCCTTTGGGTCGGGTCCCCTTCACATAGATCTCCCAACCGTCCACGTCCATGGAAACCAACACCTCTTCCATCTCTTCCCATTCAGGATTGTTTTCAGGTTGAGGGTTGGCCAGCGATTCCTCGCGGCGCTTCTTCATCTCAGCCAGTTCGATCAATGGCTTGCACGACCGAAGTCGAAAGAGATGATAACCAAGAGCACCTGCTTCGGAATAGAACCTGATGCACTGGAGTCGGTTATGCTCCGAATTCTCCATATGCTGGCCGTCATATCGTGTGGTACATTTGATAAGCGACGTGGCATCGAGGACGCAGAGTCCACGTTTCCTCAAAGCCTCAGCTTCGCGAATCATCTGACGGTCGTAGTCGGGGTGCAACCCATACCCCCTGCCGTACCATGGCATGATAAGGACGATGTTCCCAACGTCGGCACGTGTCGTCAGCTTCACGAGGTCGTTGAGAGCGGAGAAATGAGTGTTGACTCTTTCCTCCATGAGATCGTTTGCTGCGTCACGGCGCTTCTGGGAGTAGCATGCCATTTCCTTATCAAGCCAATCACAGTGGAGGAAGCCGTAGTTCCCAAAAATATCGTTGCCAGCATAAGAGATGACAATGACAGATGGGCGAGAGGTTCCCCTCCGCTGCAAACATCCAAGAGAGTGCTCGACGCCCTTGATGATGTCAGGCAGCCCACGACCCCATTTGAGATCGTGCCAGATCGCCTTGCGGCCTGGTGGGAGGAGGTCCGGCTTCTCCTTGATGTACTCGCCGATGTTCCTGCGCGTAGAAGCGTACCCGTCGACCATGTCCACAAGTGCCATCGAAGAATCTCCGGCAAAGATGAAGTTGGCCTCAGGTTCCCCTGGGCATACCATGCCTCTCAGCGAGAAGCTGGAAACGCCGTCGAGGAGCTTCGCGTCTTCTGGGCTGACGTCGCGGAGGTAGCCTTTGGCCAACAGCGAATGGTCAGTGTTCCCCATGATGGATGTCAAATCCGAAATCACATCAGCTTCGTTCACCACACGACACTGCGTGACAGAGCCAAAAATGCTCCCAGTCAACGCATACCACGCCTTTCCATTGGGCCCCAAAGTCACATTTTCAGCTGTGGACTCCGGTTCCCCGGGTCGAATGCCAGCAGCCTCCGCAGCAGCGGAATAGTCTGCCTCCTCGACCTCTGCTTGTGGAAAGCGACGGAAGTAAGCCATGGTAGATGATGTAGAAAGCGAAACAGCGCAGAGTGCAGTAGAAGTCGTCAGTTCGGGTTTTGAGCTGGTCGCTGCAATGAAAGCTCGATGGATCATATCCGTCATCTGAAAAGAATACGATTCGGTTTCCTTCAAGTCATGACCCCTGCCTTGAACGTGGTTATGACTACCATCACATGACAGTCCATCGAAAGCAGTGACAATTGAATCACAATCAGTTTGAATAGCCCAAGGTTTCTTTATAGATTCACCGTCTTTGTTGACAATACCAACCATGCATCCATCAAATGTGACTCTAATGAGTTGATGTTTTCCACAGAACTTTTCAACTCGGTCAAACTTCCAATAGATACAATGAGCTGGCCATTCAATAGCAATCTTGGGATTTAAATGACGAATAAGATTGAGAAAATCGACCATTGATGACCATATCTTCTCAAAAACATGTCGGTGATATTCAACTTTGAGTTTGGCTGATTCATGTTGCAAGTTCACATATGACCATGTTGTGCCACCAGTGCAAGGAATGCTGATCCAAACCAAAACTGGACAAGGTTGTGCCGTTGAACTCTCAATTGCTCGAACAACTTCATTTCGAATGTCCATTCTGTTCGATCTAGATGTAACGTCTCGTTCCTCTGTGCATCTGATGACATAACAATCTTTTGAATGCTTCCTTGTACGATCACCAAGCTTTGAATCAGGTCCACAACAAAATTCAATGAGAACCCTGCTATGAGATGCCACTAAAGGGCAAGCAGGTTCCCCTGCGCGCTGCTGAGATCCCGACACTGTTGAAGGTGCAGGTTCCCCTGCGCGGGCTTTCATCTTCTGTGGCTCCTTCCGAGGAAGGGGCTGTGATGAAATACCCATCAATCGCAGAGCTGATTCCCACTTCTCAGAATTGGTAAAGGGCTTGGTGAGGATGTCTGCCGCTTGAAGCGATGAACCAACATAGACAAGTCTGAAATGTTTTCGTTTGAACTGTTCAGACAACCATGACAAGTTCAATCTCTGGGTTTTGTCAGTGTGCCTAAATGACGGTGACCTACCACTCTCAAGGATTCGAATGGTTGCTTGGTTGTCTTCAAGGAAAATGACCTCAAGACTACCGGGTCCAGCCATGTACACACTTTCATCCCCCCGCTTTTCAGATCCGATATAGTTGAAATCAGTTAATGCAGATCTGATTTCCCGTGACTCAACCCCATAATCCACTTCATTTGGTCCAGGGATTCTAAAAACAGTTTTCCCAGTCCATTCGAAGTCATAGATCATGTCAGCGTCAGGAGTCGTCCAGTCCCATGTCAAATCAAATTCAACATCACCGGATTTAGTTTTCATAACGGTGTACCTTTGCCTTGCCAATCCCTGAAGGTTCACTGGACAATCCGAATCAATTGGGTTATACAGTTTATTTCGGGGTTTGACATGAACTCTGGTAACTTGGTTGGTGAATGGACTGTGCTCCCAATAGTCATCTTTGGGGTTTTTGGCACGAGTTTCCACTCTGCGGGACGGCTTTTGTTGAGTGCTATCTCCCCCCGCGTGACGTATGACTGACCACAGGCAGGAGGAAGGTAAACCAACAGCACGTAAAGCAAGGTTCGCCGCCGTGACTTCCGCCTCTGTCGATGACATAGCCGTTGAAGTCTGCTTCTTTGAAAAAGCTGTGCGTGGATAAAACGTGTTTGGTCCTACCAAAGCAAGGAGGCAACCACTTGTAGATCTGTTGTCATGTTCCCCAGCATGATCTGAATCTGCAAATAACCATGTTTTGCAAGCCTCAGGTGGATCCCCAACGAAACCAACCATTGTTCGATCAAGGGTTGTGTGTATGTAACACATTAATCGATGAAGACTTTTGTCGCAATCAGGTGACCATTTCGTAACCCTACTTGCTAAACCCTGAGTAGCACGGAGAAGATCAAACCTAGCCATTCGTGCTGCGAACAACACTTTCATCAACACACGTGATGCAATGGGCTGGAGTTCCCCCCGAGCTTCTGCTTCGTCCATGATGGGACGTGCAATTTTGTCATCTGGGAAAGGAGTTGAAACTTTCTTGAACTTTACGTTTGGTCCTGCTAGTTCAACGTAGCGGTCAAGACATTGTTGTAAAAATTGTCGCATGTCATACTCGACCGTGTTGACATTCTTTGTCATGCACTTGGATTTATGTTGCTCAAGTTCATCAAGAAAAGTAAATCCTTGTGCCCTAGCCGCTTTCTTTGTTCCCGATTTATCTCTTATCTTCTTAGCAGCTGCCAAAACTTTTGAGGGTTCTTGGATTGATTTGTCCACGAAGTATGTTGATCCCGTCCACCAAAATGGAAGTCCAGTTGGGTTTTGAGATTCCATATCGTGAACATACTCTTTGGGTTCATCTTGGGTTTGACAAGGTTCACACACGGTTAGCCGGCGCGTTCCCGCCCGGAAGGATGCATCGTCCTTCGGCTTGTCCTGGAACTTCTTGCGAGGTTGCAGGTGATGATGAACACAAACTCCAAGCTCTGGCATGTGCTCCCAGTAGTCCTTTGTTCGGCGGGCCGGACTGGCTGGCTTACTAGAAGGATCTGGGATGCTAGCATCGAAGACATGAGCAAATGGATGAGCATTTACATCAAGCTTGACATTCTGTTTGAATACATGTTCGCATCCAAGATATCTGCCGGCATCTTCAGGGGTGTCCATGTCGATTTGAGAAGAAATCAACTTCCATCCTTCGTCAATGTTTTTGGAAGGTCCTGACATCTTGAAGTCATCAACATATACACCAAGCAATAACTTCAGTTTCGGATGCCAAAACATTGAAGGCCAACACTCAGGATAGAGTGGGTGAAATCCGACTGCATAAAGTGCTTTCTCACAATGACGCTGCCATAGACCCCCCGAATCAGGGTGGCCATACAATGCCAAAATAAGAAGAACAACCGGATCTTTGAACACACCAATCCATTCCTTCGGCCAACGGTTTCTTGGTAATCTTATCCAAGTTAAGATCCCTTGCATCAACGCTTGGGTGTAAGCTTGCTTACCATCACCTTGTGATGTCCGGTTCCCCGGCATGGAGCCATAAGCATCTAATGCTTTCCCTACCTCCATGTTGGCCGGTGAACTTCCGAGCTCCGCGAACAAGGCAACATCAGCCGCCTCGTCCTTAACGTTGTTCCCTTGGAAAACGGTGCGACCCTTAAACTTGCGCATGGGGTCACCCTGCGGTAGCTCACTTCCCTTCTCGACACAAATCTCGAAGATCTTGCCTACATGAACTTTGGTTTTGTTCTTAATGGCTTCCCTTGAAACATCATCCCATTCCCTAACAGTGGAGTAGTCCCATGCACCCTTACTTGTAAGGTTATTCCATTCCTTATCGAGTGCAGCCTGGGCAGCCGGAGTATTGTTAATCTCCTTCTGTCCAACGGGTCTTGCCACAAGTGCATTGGGAAAATGAAAGCACATGAGCTCTGATTGATCCTTAAGCTTGTCCCTGTGGCAATGGTTTCCACCATGCGAGCCCCCCGGATTGTAGGTGACTGGCATTGCGGGAATGAAATCATCTGATGGTTCGGCATTCTTGGATTCTTTGACAGCTGAAGTGGCAAAACGATCAATAACCCTGTTGTACTTACGCTCTTTGGCAACTGCAGCATCATGCTTTTCAGCTGCCTCTTTCAGCAAGGCTTCACGTTTAGCCCTTTCCCTAGCCGCTTTAGAGGCCCCCCGCCAAAGAAATGTTGGAATGTCCTTTGGTTTGGAGGAACCCTTATATCGTCTTCCCTTAAAACCACTTGCATCGTAGTATGAAGGGTCATCCTTTGAGATAAATTCTGATTTTCCAGTTTTGGGGTCAATCACTTCGATGTCATCAGACTCAAGTCCAGCTTCACGCATCAACTGTTCAAACTCCTCTTCGCCCTCCACCGGTCCTGGCTCAATAGCTTTCCTTGGGGCAACCAAGTCTTCAATGGTTTGAGCGTCCATTTTCTTCGGATCTGGTGGAGCATCAAGGCTAAGAGATTCGTATAAACCTTCCCTAATGGCCTTATACCTACCTTTCAACGGGTAAACAAACGGTCCATCAGGTACAGTGAGTTGGTTGACACGTACAACTTGAACTGATTCGTTGAATTCCTTCTCCATGAGGTCCTTCAATGATGCTACAAGAAATTCATTTCTCCAAACGAAACCTGGTTGCATGGCATACCCCAAAAAGATACCTGGATTCGAAGTTGGGTCAAACCGCAAATCTTTCTTGGGTTTAAGTTTCGGACCAGTCCAAAAGTCGATGCGAGCCCCAAAAGGAATGTTGGGTCCCTTGAACTTCTCCCCAAAACGAAGCTCCCACGGAGATAAGATTTCAGGGTGGTCCTGGATGTTGTGTGCCATACACCAGTGTCGTGCAGCATAACTCCAATAAGAATGGTGAAGCCCTGCCTGTTCAAGGTTTACTCTAGTCCCTTCAAGTACGGACCTGAGATTCCTCTCGGCGACTGCGTTCGACTTAGAGACATAAGCAACACTAGTGTTCTGTCTCCACCCAACTTCCCGACAAGCGAGCTTAATGGATGGCGCTGCATCGGAATAAAACACTCCGACTTCTTCACCAGGTGCAATGAAATGCCTAAAAGCTAAAACACAATCCTTGGCATGACTTCTTGCTGAAGGATAGATCCAACGAAAGTTCGTAGCGACATCTTTCATGATCATAGCAACCCTGTCACCATCAATTGATTGTTCGTTGGCATCCCTAGTCACAAGATGATCCCCAGTGATGTGATCCCCAAACTTGTTGGATTCCACAGTCAGAGATTCCCCTTTGCTACGTTTAGTAGGTTTGTACATTTTAGCACATTTGCATGTTTCACAAAAGGGATTCTTTGGGGTGTGTGTCATCATGTGCCTAAGGGTCCTGGCCTCTTCTCGAAGTGCAGCTTCACCACGATCAATTGCCTTTGGTTCAGGCAACTGAAGTCGACCGTCAACTGGTTCTTCAGGAGCTTCGGCTTCATCTTCCGAACCTTCGACAACGTCTGGTGTCATGGCTGCTGGCGGTCCGGGTGCAAGTTCACCAGGAAAGAATTCTTCGAGGTCGTCGATAGCTTGTCCGGGAATTTCATCGTCATCAGCGATGGAAGCCTCGTAAGGTACTTCGACCTCCTCGACTTCATCATCGGACTCGGCACCGACGGCTGACATGCGAGACCTTCGAACAGGTGAGATGATGGGCTTGCCGTTCCCGGCAGCGGAGTTCCATGAAAACGGAATCCCTACTGCAGCGGGTACCTGGCCATCTCTGGATGGTAGATAAGGAACAAAATCTTTGACTTCAAGTTTGATCTTGGTTCCATCTTTCTTCTTGAAATATGGGCGACTAAAGCTTTTCCAAACAAAATCCCATCCATCTTGAATACATCTCATCCCTACCGATATTACAGCCGGGGTATCGGGAAGAACATATGGATGAACTTCTTTGTCGATGCAATCAATATGAACAGAAGCTTGTTGGTCAGCTGATTGGGAACCGTTTGCAGTGATTAATTCAAGGGGTTCATGAGAGTGATACACGATGTCATCGGGAATCATCTTGCTGCAAACTAAGTCCTGTGCACTACCAGTGTCAGCGATCCATGCTATCTCAGCGGATGCGTTACGCTGCTGGGACGGCATGTGTCCTGGCAGGGCATTCAGGTCGGAACGGATGCAGTGGCGACAGCCGATATCACTGTCACATTCAAAGCTGCATTTGCAAAGCTTACCATGCAACTCCCGAAAGACAGCTGATTGCAACATCTGTGCTGCAAGTATTGCATCACTTTCTCTTGCTTCGATCGTATCTTTACGAGTACGATCGTTCTTGGTGATGCGAACTGGATTGAAAGTTCGTTGTTTGGCTTGGCACGGATACAAATTACAATTTTGCTCAATGGGAACTTCGAAGATTTCATCGTTGCCCCCAAATGAAACAGTGCGATTGGGTGTAACTGGCATGGCAAAATGCTGGTTGAAACAATGCGGAGAGGCGATGCCTTCCGGCACGCGATGAGTGCTGGTCGAAGGGTTGACGACTGCGACCATCATCAGAGCGCGCATCAGGCAAACTGCAGCTGAGCCAGAGGAAGATGGTTTTCCCCCTTTGTCTTTGAGACTCTGAGAGCCTCTCGAGGAATTGGAACCTCGACTTGACGATCTGGAGCGATCGCCCTTCTTCTTGTTCTTCTTCTTCTTTTTCTGGCTCTTTCCACGCTTGTCATCTTTTGTAGATGCAGCTGCAGGTTTCGGTGGGTGTTGGAAAGCACAGTCATTACCTCGTTGACACTTACCTGCCTTCCAAAACTTACACACTTGGTTCCTAGATCCTGGAGACAAAGATCGACCGTTGCCCCTTGACTTGGACCTGGACTTGCCTTTCTTACCTCCGCCTTTTCCTTTGTCTGCCTTTTCATGTCTGTATCGGCAATCCTTTCCCCTGGTACATTTGCCAGCCTGGAAGTCATAGCAAATGCCAGTGGGCTTTCCCGCGGATGGCGGCCTCGTGGGTGCTGGCGTTGCGTCTCTTTTGCCTGAAACGGACTTCTTGGTCGCCTGTCTCATCTTCTCCAGACGTCTCCTCTCAAGGTAGTCCCTCGCAGCTTTCATGAGAAAATCATAAGAGCGGTTGGGTTCCCCCTCCGGTGTGCGATCATACACAGCCAGATCATGAGAGAGAGGCTTGAAGTTCTTGATGGCGTTGTGAAAGTAGGCTTGCTTCCACATCATGTCAGGCTCGGAAGTCATTCCAGCGATCACAGCGTCCCATCGGGTGATGAAACCTCTGAGATCATCATTGACTAAGGTAACAGCCATGAGGTCTTCAATGTCGTACACTGCACCATGCTTCCTGCTTGTACTAAAGTGTTTGTGAATCATGAGCAATGCCTGACGTCCCCTAGCTGGTGTCCCTGACTTGGCTTGTTCTTCTTTAAAAATGTCAAGTTGCCGTGCAAAGTCCCCTTCGCAGATGTTGGTGAGCGAAGACATGAGCTTTGCGTCCAGGGTCACGAATTTACCTGAGTCCTTCAAGGCATCGACAGACTGATCTGTCCTGAAAACTTCTTCTACCCATTGAAAAGCTAGGTCGGGTTTAGCAGAAGCAGCAATTATGGCATCCCTTACTCGGATTCTCCAATTCCTATAATTTTCGGGTTGAGGGAACTTAGGAACTAGGATCCTATCAGACTCTTTGGCCTTAGTATCAGTAGTCCTAGAACGCTCCAAGGCCCTTTTGACCCTTCGTGCAAAGGAACTTTCAGAATCCGAACTTGACGTCGTAGGGGATGTCGATGATGAAGGTGAAGATGAAGGATCTCTCCGACGTCGTCGTCGCGATCTGCCACGACTAGTCTTTCGGTCCTTCTTCTTATCTTTCTTGTCCTTGCGACCTCTCTTGTCGTTATAGTCGTCATCATCATCGTCATCTCCTGGAGGTCCACCGCCGGGCAATCCCGGTGGCTTCGAAGGTTCTGCCAGAAAATGCTCATCATCAGCATCTGATGAATGCTGAGGTTTCTTGCTTCCCGAAGCTATCTCCTCAATGATTGGACCTTTGGGCTTCGAGGATTGTGGAATGGGTTTCCCTGAACCATAGTGAATCATAAGTCCAGTTCCCTCCAGAGGTTGAGACTTTAAATTCCGGATGAGCTCTTTCTGCTCCTTCCGAAGTTTCTCAATCTCGGCCTCGAAGTCCTTCTTCTGAGATTCGGCCAGCTTGTGCATGTTCAAAGCGTGTTGATTCATTGCATCAATCTGAGTGCGGTACTCGGCAAGTTCTGAACGGGCTGCCTGCAGATCAGCATTGGACTTCTCCGCAGACGATGTCAAGACACCTGCATTGTTGACCACATGAGTCAGCTCGGCACTCAGTTCCCTGATGCGATGATCCTGCGCTGTGACCTGCAGTTGAGCAGACTTCTGCTCACTCATCGCCTGGGCGGCCTGTTCGTTCAACAAAAGGTTTCTCCTGGAAATTTCTTCGGCTGCTTGTTGTTCAACGCTTGCAAGTTGATCTCGAGCCTCACTCACAAGCTCCATTCGTTGACGTTCCATGACCTCAGAGTGACGTACATTCGCCTCACTCTGCAATGCCTGCTGTTGAGCAGCCATGAGCTGGTTTGCCAGGTTTGGATCAATGCCTTGTTGTACCACTGCCACGTGGGCGGTACGCTGATCAACACTGTTAAAGTTGATGGTGTTGAGTTGACTGATGTCAATGTTTGAATCCAAAACACCTGGCATATTCCTGCGTGGATCTTGACGGCATGGGTCAAACTCTTCATCCAGATAACTCATGTCACCTTCAGTTGTTGCCGCGCCTGAATGGATTACCACTTCCTCCGGTTGTGTAGTTGTCGCCAAAGCCAATGCAGCCGAGGCGTTCCCGCCCGGGGCAGGGAGCGCAGGGGGAGTGGACATGGCGAAACAGGGAGGGAAAAGCGAAAAGGTGAGACAAAAGGAAACCAGCGATCGCTTGGCGATACGGCTGATAACCTGTAGAAACAAGTGATCAACCACAACAGACCACGATATAAGTACAGATACTACACCCTGCCGCAGCAATGTTTCTTGAGCCAATGCAACACAATCTATAAGGTGAAAAGTATGTATACATGCATGAAGACTGTGCAACAACATATATATATGCATATGTATATGTGTATATATATATATTAATATATTGATATGAATTACCTGTGATGCATATCTCCATACACACAAATCATAACTATATATATATATATATCATAGCAGCCAAAGCTGCATGAATCACCCCAGGCTCGAGGCTCTTGGAGGGAAGAGATTGGTCACAACTACATCAAACATATCCAAAGGCATCATGCACAATCACTGCTGGATCAACGGAAGAATGACACATCATTGGGGGTCTTCATCGGCCATCACTTGTCAAACATCTACAGTATCATTATCCCCTTGAGACTTCCTGATACTTCAACAACACTCACCGCCGGGATAGTTGACGTGTTCTTTTTCCAGATTTGAAGAGCACCTTACACCGCCAAGAGCTCTAGAACTTATGGTTGTTGTTGTTTTGACTTATCATTATATATTGCTTATCTGCTTGTGCAGTAAATCATAGCCGCTTGTCATAGCAGCAACTCCTCACCCAAAAAAAAACAATAGAAAATCACACTTTGTTCCCATGTATGGATGGATTGACGAAGGTTCTTTTGCATGAGAAGCCATGCTGCTTACCCTGAAATATCTTCAAATCAAAGTGTTTCCTCTAAGCATTCCCTTCCAATCTAAATTGTTTTGCAGGGAGTTTGGGATTCCCTAAATTCCCGAAACACACATAATCCCTGATGTTTTTTTACAATCCCCAAATTCTTTGTCCCAAATCTAGGATTGTTTTATACAACTTTAATAATTTCAATATATATATATAATTGATATTGTTTTTCCAAGAAAAATACTGTACTTCCTCTGCGAACCCAAAATCGACAGCGCCTCCTTCACCAAATCCTCGAAATGTTCGGAGACACAGCGCACGTTCTCCAGCAAAGTCCTAGGAGCCCGGCAGCCCGGTGACCGCCCTGGCAACTGCCATGCGCAAAAGGGGGAAAAATGGAGCGTTTTGATGTGAGCTCATTGTCCTAGAAGTATCTAGAAGTGGTTTAAGATTATTCACATTGGCTTGAAAATGCTTGACATATGTAGAAATCCAGGTTCTCTTGCAGGCACAAAAAAACCTGGTTTCCGCTTTCGATGTTCCCTTCAACATGTGCTCCCAGGCCAGGTGCTCGGGGTGCGAGTTTGCTGGTACCGGGTATATTTTTAAGCAGATGGGTTTGTCTCAAGCTGAGGTAAATTCAAAAAAAAGGCAATCTTAATAGGAATCACATGGGATACCAATGATTTACCAATGGTTTTAAGTTGATTTTTCATGGTTTCCTATTTTCACACAAACCCATATATTCTTGTGGCCGACAATTTTTATTGGCATCAGCACAATCAGCACTGCGGCAGCGAAACACCGGGGATTTCATTCCATCAAAATGGGTAGAGTTCCATCCCCAAATGGTACAACGTGAGGCCCCCAAGATAGCTAAGTTGGTTTATAACTCCAATAACAATGGTTTATGGTACTTATAACTATAGTTCCTGGGGCTTATAAACCAACTTATAACTGGGGGGCCTCACATTGTAGGTTTGTGGCATTGGGTCTGCCACATGCAATCTTTGGCCGCCATCCAGATCCAAATGAATAGATATTCCTCCCATTTCCTTAGTATTGGGACATGTTCATATCCATATATGAAAAACATAGTTAATAACACCAAGTACCCTCTGGTGACTCTAACATTGCTAGTTGGGAGATCCCCGAACTAAATGGATCTGTCCAGCTGGGGAAATCATAGAACAAAAATGAACAAAATGTGGTATTTTCCAGCAAGCCATGTTTGATGACACTAGATGGCAGATCACCATTTACATCACCATTAATGGTCCCAAATTGGTGAATAATATTAATGATAAGTCCATATGTGAATGAAATTAATCACAACCATCAATATTCAGTAATCATGAAAAAAAACAAAAACTAAGCATAGTCCACAGGTCCCACATAGGTATAGGTCAAAATTGTATATCCCTATAATTTAACATAGATGATTATATAATGGTTATACTATATATGTTATATAATACTAAACATATACTGGGGTCAGTCCCTGGGTCCCTTCTGGGGCTTAAATTTCAATCCATCGTCGACGGCTCCTCTCTGATGGATCCATGGGTGGAATTGACAGGTCATCGTCATCCTCCAGGAGCTCCTCCGGAGAAAGCGGCTGAGAATCCAAGTGGTTAACGAAAGATCGGCAAAAAAACACAATTACCCTCTGGGAATTTAACATAACTATGGAAAATCACAATTTTTAATGGGAAAATCCACTATAAATGGCCATTTTCTATAGCTATGTTAAATTACCAGAGGGTAGATATGGTGTAGTCCAAGTAGTAACCCCCGACAAACTCTTTTTTTCCATCACTAGTTTTTTTTTTAATGGGTTTACTATAACATAATACCTCGCGTTTGTGTTTGTTTCCATTTTTCTTTGGAAGTGCTAGACATGAACAATACGTAGTCAATGTGATATATGACTACGCTTGACAAATATGCTGATTAGCTCGAAACATCCTACACCTTGAGATGCTTGCTGTTTTTTCTCTATTTGCAAAGAATTGCGGAGAAAATCTCCAATAAGTGCCACAACTTTGGGATAATATGATATGTTCCATTTACACACCAATATTCAACCATCATTAACAACTATGTCAAACACTAACCGTCATTGTCTCAAATTTCATCAAACAAATTATCCCAATGTAGGCTAGAAATCCCAATTTCACTCCTTTCAAACCAAGTCAAACCACCACATTTCGGGTTTTTTTTGCTCCTCATCGCCACTGAAGACTTCTGCCCGCGGTCCACTATTTCCACTGTCGGGGGCTTCCAACTCCTAGCAGCAGTGCATAAAAAAAACTGTAACTGGTGGATCCCCAATATGGGTGTTTAGACATTATTAAAGATTCTGATATTAAGGAGATTTACTCTTAGGATCTATTGGAGGGGATGGAAGTCCCACAATTCGGGGTCATGACTCCCATCCTAGAATTTGCTAATTTAAGACTTTGTGAACTAAATATCCACGTTCAAAAAACGCTAAAAATCATCTGCGAACTGGCTTTTCCAGTCACCGGGTATATCCTATCAAAGCCGATGAACATCACTTGAATCGTTTGGGATATTACTTGATAGAACTACCCACAAATTTGGGTGAAGATGTCCCCTAAATCCCAAATATCCCAAACTGATAGTCGGGGTCGCTACTTGGAGGATCATCCCACCTATCTGGTTAGTAACGGGGAGTTATTCTGTGTAAATGGGATACCTTCCCCCCAATGAGGGGGCTAACTAACAACCAACAACCAATCAACTTGCATATCTTCAAAAAAGCTTGGCTTGTCTCAATCATAGAGGTTTGTACATGGGGGTTATTGATTAAATAAGCAGTGTCAACATATTTTGATAACCTATTAGAAAATGACGCGCAAATTTGTGTATATACACGATATGTATTGGGAATTTAACCCCCATAATCATCCATCAGGTTGGGTCTTTGAAACTGCTAACATTAGTGTATGATTCAAAGGATCCAGGCTTTCATCTATGAATAGTATTTTGAGGTATGTCGTATTGATAACTGGGATGCACCTGCATATTGGACGTGTATATAGATTTACGGGTAGACTTCAGCTTAAATATAACTTTCCACCTGTATAATTATTTACAATGTCCAGAAAGGTAACATATCTACAGCAATGGCTGGACACTTGTGAGGAACATACAGCGTCAACCCGGTGATGGCGATAAGGTTTGAAATGATCTGTGCAACGAAAGCGAACCCCATTGTCAAAAGGTAAAGAACATAAATGAACTGTAAATCAGCCCAGTCATTGTACGAAAAGGGAACGCCACTTTTTCATCAATGAGCTGACTTCCGATACAGGACATTAAACTGATTCTCTCCCAATCAACAGAACACCCAGTCGTGTGCATTTGCCAGGATATTCATGGCAAATCTTAGATACCGTAGCCTACAAGAAAGAAACATCGTTCGCTGAAAAACATGTAATATTGCCATATATATTCCCCTAGTACAAGGTTGCTCCCAATATTCCGGCTAGTAGGAGGTATATAAATTGGCTAAAGGAATAAAGACATACAGCTTTCCCCACCTTGTTGGCAACCCGGGTAAATCATCGCAATTTCCCTTCAAAATTGCAATTGCTTCCTCCAAAACCTGGTGGGCATTTTAAACATTTTTAAACCATGTCCCTACGATAGCATTTGGCATTAAACATGGCTTGATGGATCATTCATCACTTCGATGATCTCCCCAGCTATTAAATTTCCACGGCGATGTTTTGAGGGAATCGCCACAACTGATGACCAAAGAGTAGCACCTACATATATATCATTGGTTACCCATGATATCCCCATGATATCCCCATGATATCCCCATGATATCCCCATGATATCCCCATATAAACTTGCTGAAATCATGAAAAACATCCCCATGAAACATCCATCAAACATCATTCAACAGCGTATAAATCACGAAAAAAATCCTCATTAATCCCCATGATTTTATGTTAAATCCCATTGATCCCCAGCATATCAACATGGTGCCGCCCCTTGGTTATCCTCGGCCATCTCGCGATTGGCATCCCGGAGCTGGGCCAGTGACTTCAACAAGCGCCTGCTGGAAGTAACCACCGGCCGCGGCATGGGGAAGTAACCAAGTCACCATGAGGAAGCGGTTTAACAGGGATAAATGAAACTGTTTAATGATGTTTAATGGTATTTGTCTGGGAATATGTGTAATGATGTTTAATGGATGTATAATCCCATGGGGAAGTAACCAAGTCACCCATGATACTTTTAATGATGTTTAATCGATGTTTCATGGGGATATGTATTGTATCCAATTATAAGTCCTGAACTAAGCCGTACTGATAGAATGTATAATATCACCACCCTAAGGGGGGAGGACGTACCCAAAATGTAGCTACATGTTTCTAGTTTTTTTTTTGGAGGGGGGCCTTCAAAATGTAAACTTACATTTTGAATCATTTTGAAGGTGTTTTTAGGACCCTCCCCACAAAAACGACAACTGGGGAAGTTCAGCGACCAATTTTACATTTAAGGGGGGGTCCCAAAAAATGTATCTTACGTTTTGGTATGGTCCCTCCCTGAAAAGTAGCCTTAAGGGGCCGGGTTGTGATTGTATAATCCCATTTTTAACCAGTTATGACTAATAAATGGCCATAACTGTATATAGTGTGATCTCGTGTGATATAGTGTGATGCAAACATGGATTTAAGATTATGCAGCTGAGCAATACCGTGGCTACTGGAATGGAAAACTTGAGAGTTAGGCAACCAAAAATGTTGAAAAATGACATTTGAACTTGAGAGTTAGGCAACCAAAAATGTTGAAAAATGACATTTGACAAACCAACGCTGTGTCATTTCACGACACCCACCCACACACACAATTAAGGGGAGTTCATGAATATGTTTTGGAGTTTAAGGCAAGCATCCCTCATTGGCCAGAATAGGATATGACTACTGTCACGAAAAGAAAACATCAGGATACAACTTATCAGGAAATATACAAATGGGACATGGCCAAAAAAAATATCTTGGGGAAGAAGCGGTCCAAAGCGGGAAGATCTGAGCGCGATGACAGCAACAAGTGTAAGGGCATCGGAGAAAACGTAGAAATATATATACGTATATATATATATATTAATATTTTAATTGATATTGGATGTTTCATGATGTTTCCTAAAATGGCGTTACCCCCAAATCATCCATTTTAGTTGGATGTTCCATTGTAAACCATCCATTTTGGGGTTCCCCTATTTATGGAAACCTCCATAATTATAAATATATAATTGAAAGATGCCCAAAAACCAATGCACCCAGTGATTATTCAATAGTTGATACTAAGTGCATGTAGTTGATCAAAACTCGACATGCAGTGGTTTAAAGTTTGTGGAGTCCAGGCAGGTGTGTAGCCTCCACAAACTTAAAAGGGGCTCTTGTTCGAGTGGTTTTAGCTTTCCTGAAACCAAAAAAACACGTGAGCCAATCAACCCAATTGACAAATACGTATGTAGGTTTGTTTAAAAATGGGAGATACAGTAAAGAGCGAAACTCATGCCCAAGTCACGCCGGTGTGCTGAATATCTGCTTTCCCCCATCTTAATGCAGTTTCCAGAAAGTTATGCCTATGAAATACCTGCAACCCAACTCACCATCTAAATGCACCCTATTTCAACGATTCCCACCCATCTGGGCACGACTTTAGCAACTCTCTGTACCCGGAAAAATCACTGAACGAGGAATATTAATTAATATGACAATCAAGTATAATTAAGTATAAGTAAGTCGAATCATGTCAGTTATATAATGATACCCTGTCTTTGGATACCCAATGAATCCTGAAACATGCTGTTTCATGCATCTCTTCTCGCCTCATTGCTGGCCAATATAAGCACCTTATCCCACATGTCATCATTTGGAGGTTTCCCAAAATTGCAAATTTGGGGGCATCACCATTTTCAGAAACCCCCATTTATCTTCTCAGGTTGATTGCTTCCACCGTTCTTGTGCCTAGTTCCCTCATTCAGCAAGCGGTCAACGCTGCATATGTCGGTGTCATTTTGTCCCATCTGAAACTGGCTATTCTCAGAATGGGGGTTACCCATGGATCCCCAAGACCGTTGCTTTCAATACTAAAATTCTCCGAAAATTTTCTGAGTTACAGTACTTTGGATATGTTTGGATAATTGCAGGGTACCACCATTTTCAGAACTACCCACACTTCATCAGGTTCCCCTGACACCATTTCAGCCTCATGATGGCTGCGCGGTTCTGGGTGGAACTTTTTTCCAAAGCAGTGACATGCTCCAGAACCTCTCTGCCGGAGCGCAGTTTTCAGAAAATCGAGCATCCACTACAATGTTGGTCCCCGAAATCATTTGGAATCCTCTGGTTTCAAGGTCCATCAGCAAAGTTGTGCAGTGGTCGTTGGATTTTGTTTTCCCTCCCTAAAAAAATTCTTGACTTCGTATAATCCCCACCATGACATTTATACATTTTGCTACTGGCAAACCTTCTGGCATTCTATCTAGCATATCTTCTGGCATTCTATCTGGCATATCTTCTGGCAATTCTATCTGGCATATCTTCTGGCATATTATCTCCTCAAATCTTCTGGCATTCTATCTGGCAAACATTCTGGCACTTTATCTGGCATATCTTCTGGCGTTCTATCTGACATTTTATCTGGCATTCTATCTGGCATACCTTCTGGCATTCTCTCTGGCATATCTTCTAACATTCTATCTGGCATATCTCCTGGCACTCTATCTGGCATATCTTATGGCATTTTATCTGGCATATCTTCTCGCATTCTATCTAACATTCTATCTGGTATATCTTCTGGCATTCTATCTGGCTTTTGAGGTCCAGCGGTGCGCACTGAGCTCGGAAGGCCCCAGGTTGAGGTCCAGCGGTGCGCACTGAGCTGGGAAGGTCCCAGGTTGAGGTCCAGCGGTGCGCACTGAGCTCGGATCAGGTTGAGGTCCAGCCGTGCACCTGAGCTGGGAAGGTCCCAGGTTGAGGTCCAGCGGTGCGCACTGAGCTGGGAAGGTTCCAGGTTGAGGTCCAGCAGTGCGCACTGAGCTGGGAAGTTGGCGAAGAGCTAGGCGAAGAGTTGACAAGGCGGAAGTGGAGGTGGAAGTTGATGCAGGCATGGTCGAGGAGAAACTGGCGGAGAGGAGGCGGAGGAGGAGGAGGAGGCGGAGGAGGAGAACAACTCTGATAAAATCTAACAACCCTCACCTGGCAGGTGGGGAATAAGCAATGTCCATACTCCTATTGCTATAGTTCCTCATCAACATCCCTGTTGTTGATAGTTCATATATCAATTATATGAATTATATGTGTAATTACTATCATGCCCAACAGTATCTCAAGGGACGGGACTGTACGAAGACGTCTCCGTATGTTTAATGGCTATGAGCTGGAGCACGTCACAACAAACTCGACACGTGTACCATTGATGGTTCAGATCCCTGAATATTGCCCTGTGAGTCTTGTTTCAATCTGCAGTTTCTGTTCTTTGAAGCCCCGGTGTTTGCTTTGAATCAGCATGTTTGATGGTCCAATTCCCAGTTCAATAAACCTGGTTCTTGCTTAAATCAGCGTTTTGCCGGTCCCCATTTTTTCTAGCTAGGTTGATCACAATGCCTTTTTCGGGTTCAATCCCAATGTTTCTCATTTTTTGCTGGTCTTATCCATGTTTTGCCGTTGCTTCGATGCGAAGGCTTTTTGCCTCTCAACTGTTCACTCGATGTTTAGCTGTTTACACGTTTGAATCCCCATAATTGCCGGGTTGAATTTCCCAGTGTTTATCCGTGCTGGTTGTATCCCATGTCTAATTTTTGATGTCCATATAATTCCCATCTGCATCATATGCTCAATGTCTGGTATACATTTACACGCAAAAAAAAATGCCATATCCAAAACATGTTTTGGTAATTATATATCGTACCCACATACACCCAGCAAACATGGCCAAATTGTGTGGATGGTCAATTGTAATATGTATATATAACAATATGCTAATAAATGTGTACTACATTTACCTTTTATATATATATCCCATGAATTATAGCAATTATACGCGCAACCCCCCCTTTTCGCCCACACACACACACAACTTTCGCAGGGTTTCCAAGTACATTGAAGAGCGATATTGGCTGGCGGGTTGAAGGGAATTTTGAACATTGTTTCAACAGAGCTCCTAGGGAATCATTAAATGCCTACCCTGTTAAACTTTATATTCAAGGGAATCTTCAAGATGTTTCAGCAGAGTTTCTAGGGAATCATTACCACCTGTTAATGATGTTCATGTTGATGTTGATGTTGATGTTGATGTTGATGATGATGATGATGATGATGATGATGATGATGATGTTGATGACGATGATGATGATGATGATGATGACGACGATGACGACGATGACGACGATGACAATGATGATGATGATGATGATGATGATGATGATGATGATGATGATGATGATGATGATGATTATGATTATGATTATGATGATGATGACGACGACGATGATGATGATGACGATGATGATGATGATGCTGATGCTGATGCTGATGATGATGGTGATGATGATGACGATGATTATGATTATGATGATGATGATGATGATGATGATGATGATGCTGGTGGTGGTGGTGGTGATGGTGCTGGTGGTGCTGGTGGTGCTGGTGGTGCTGGTGGTGCTGGTGGTGCTGGTGGTGCTGGTGGTGCTGGTGGTGCTGGTGGTGCTGGTGGTGCTGGTGCTGCTGGTGCTGCTGGTGCTGCTGGTGCTGCTGGTGCTGCTGGTGCTGCTGGTGCTGCTGGTGGTGGTGGTGGTGGTGGTTGTGCTGATGTAACATTCAACGCATAGGTTGCTAAGCTGCGCGTTGCAAGATGAAAGCCATGATCCTGGGCATGTGCATTTTGTCTCACAAAACACAGTGTTTTTTGATGTTCGGACACGTGGTGGACGTTGGCGCAGGCAAGAGGAGGGGTTTGCCCGTAATTAATTATATTCTAAATATCTTTGACGTTGACATCCCCAACCATTTTTTCCGTACCCCCAGTGGCGCCTTGCCGGCAGAGGGAGCCAGGCTGCTGGTGCAAACGGCCATGCCCAAGGCATTCACGGCCTCCGTCAAGTTGTCGCCGGCGTCCTAACCGCTGGGATTAGCCATAGCGGTGGCTTAAAAGCCCTCAAACAACTGGGATGGATTCTATGCGTTGGGAATATTGCCCAGTTTCAGATCACTAAGTGGTTCACCCTATCGATAGCAGGTGGCTCCGTTCATCGCAGGAGTACGGAGAGCAGGCTTGAAAGCAGAAGTGAATGTCATCCCTTGTTGTCTTTTTTGCCTCTTCCCCAATGGCAATGCTGTTTTCAATAAGCCGTCCCTAAGTCATCCCTTCAATGCTTTCCCCCATTTGAACCCTATATTTACGGATTGGTTTTAGGATCGCTTATGGCCCATATGGCCGTAAAAATTGTTGAGCTCACTGAGTTCTGTTTGTGCGCAGCAATTCCGCTGCAAAGAACTTTGCAGTCATATCCTAGGGGTGACGAGCCAGTGGCAGTGGGTATCCCAATGAATACATCCCAGCTGGCGGGTTGTAACCCTCTTGCTGAGTACATAGACATGGGATAACCCAGGAATCGGAGGTTCAACCAGCCATTAGCGGTTTGAAACAACCTGGTATACAAATTTAAGGGTCTTTCCTCATATTGATGAGGTTGTAACATGTTGTAACTATTCACCAACCTATTGTAATGTCTCTAGTTTTGTAGCTGCGGAACCAGCAACAAGGGATTTGCATGGATTTGCCATCACAATGGTTGCCAATGCACTCTGGTAGAGGGGAATGAAGTTATCTAAGTGGTGTCTATATAAGATATGCTGGTTTAAGCCCAAGAATGACTGGATAGAATGCATATACATATTCTTATTCTAGCATATGTACATTATATGCTATATCATACATAATTATAAAAAGTTATACACATATATATATATATATATAATTGATTATATATCTTACTTATATATCAAGTGATACCCCATGCAGCTGACCTTTACAACAAGTCGTCACTGGGAGAAAATCAGCCATTGATGGGCGCCCCAGTGATTGCACGACTCAGCAAGATCTGAGGGCAATTTCCATGATGGGAGAGCAAACAAACACCATTTGATGCTATTCTCATCTCTGTACCAACTTTTATGTTGTCTTTCCAAAGTACCCATTTACTTTGTCAATACTGAGAAGATACTCTTCGCTCACAATTTCGCGACGGTATGACATGTTGCATACGGTGCTCAGCAGTTTGAGAATCCCGACTCGGGGGCAAGGGAACTCCTTTGTGGAAGTCTTCATGACACCAAAAGTATGACACAACACTGTACATTTTACCAAACATAAATAGATCATATATGATCAACGTAGATGATATCGTAGAATCACAATAGCTCATTAGAGATTATAATAGATCAAAATATATAGATCATATTAATATATGATCATATGTGATCATACTGCATCAACATGCAGCCCCTAATGATCCCACATTCCCTGCAACAAACGAAGGATGTAATGCCGTAGGGCTGTTCAACGGATCAGAATCCCTGGCACCCTGGCTGTTCAACACATCTCAAGGCACGCCCTCCTAAGATGGCATAAAAATGGCACACGCATTGCAGTATGTAACCCCCAAAAAGATTCAGCAACGGTCTAGTTTCCCACTGTTTTAGTAGGACGTTGCCAAATTTTAGCTTTGTTGTAATTGCTTTACACTACATTGGTGAATCGATATCTATATATATATACAGTATATAAATCATCATTTCCCTGCTTAAAAAACATGGTTAATTAAGCGGTGGGTAAACAATCAAATCCCACATTTTGACCGGGTTACCTTTCATCAAACATTAGTCCTGTAAACTAACAGTTCGATGTGGAGTTTACCCACCAGTTGTAGATCATGTTCCGAACTGGAAACCATGGCTTTTCCACATGTTTGTGTCCCTACCAGTAGGCTATTAATTAAACCATATTCCAAAACCAACCCTTCATCAAGGTCTACTCAGCCATCTCCAGACCTTCAACTCTTTGGACAGGCTGTAGCCTCCAGAATTCAGGACTCGGAAGGACTTGGATGATATCCATGTCTATAATTTAGTCTATAATAGTTTGGGATAGAGTTCTTATCGTGTGTATACTATAGATATACAGCTGGTGGATTCAACCCATCCCGAAAAAAGAATCTCAGGGCACAATCAGCAGATTGTCATAGGATCAACAACGCAGGTCTATCTTGACTAGCTGAAAAGTTTGATATCCACAGCTGCACTATAGGGTACTCCATCAACATGGCAGGCATAAAGCCATCAACCTACCTTTCACCAAGATTTACCGGCGATCCTCCTGTTTGCGTGCTTGTTTTGCCTCATTGATCGAACACATGCTTGAAGTATGTACTTCTTCCGTCTTTGACATGTGTTATCTAACCATGATATGTCCGTGGAACAGTGCGAGATGGCAGGGTGAGTGTTGGTCGTACATCACTTTTGTATCTGCAAGGAGCTACAGCATCAGTATATCTATATCAAACACCTCTGACCTCTGTGGCTATGGCATTTGACGCAATGTACCTGTACATCATGACATGATGTATAGTAGTCCAGTCACTGCACACTATTTCAATGTAAAACTCTAGATTCTTAGATGCAAAAGAAGCAATACTTGAAAACATGTTTGTCCATGCTAAAAAGTCATGACATGACCGCACTAAAAACGACGAGCGTAATTACAGATGTGGTCTAAACGGATGAAAGATCGTTTTGAACATGGTCATTCCCTGTTCCACATATGTTATTCTTCAAACAACTAATTATAGAGAGTAAATAATATGCATTTGTGCTACTCGATATTCATTCCCAGTCCTTTCCTGACTACACTGTTATCTTGTAAAGACCTGTAATATGTTCAACAGTTTTCCCGAGGCTTATCATGTTGCTTTAAGATACATCACATTCAAACAAACAAACGACTTGTTTTTCTTCTGGGTACTCCCATGTTGGCCCCCTTTTTCCTAGGCATTTGAACGGAGCCCGGCCTGCTCCACTGTTGATTCTCAGCAGGGTGCCCACCAACATGGTGTAGGCTTTGATCACCTGGAACCAACCAAGCCCTGATGCTGGGGCACTGGAGGCCAGGTGCCGGCCGCTGAGTAATCAATACTCCCATCATGGATTTTAGATGATTTTAGATGATTCTAGCACGCGGTTTGAACCTTCAAACTAGCTGCACCATCAAGGTTTACACAGGAATCATAGGGTCAGATGATATCAGATGGTCATTTCATGAAAATTCAAGCCATAAAATGTGCAAGCAACGATGGGATGTCAACGCTTACATCGGCACCGGCCTGGTGGTTGCAAGTTTCAACCCATGGCTTCAAGATGGTTCAACAATAGGAGAACGGGGAGATCTATGTTCATGTATGTAATGTAATGCCATTCCATGGTATGTGATTGTGTGTGATTGTATGCACATATATATGTATATGTATATATCATATATATTATATGTGTAATGTGTCTGTATACTATACTTATATTATCGTACGCAGGTAACGAAGGATTGTCAAGCAAATCTCCTTCACCAATCTCACGCTGGAGAATCCTCCTGATTGATGTAGGAAACTCAATTGATGGCACCAACTGGCTCCCAATGGGGGCACCAACTGGCTCCCAATGGGGTTCCTTCCATTCACCACTGGATAGGAGAAAATTGTTGTTTGTATGACATCTTTAGAAAATCCACATTGAAAATCATCATTGAAAATCCCCATGAAAAACCATCAGGTTATATCCATCTATATCCATGATATATGTCCTACAGATCTATAGTTTCAACCAAAGCAGTGGTTGTCATTGGTTCTTTGAACAATTTCCCCTCAAATTTCCCATGAAATCTATAGAATATCCTCTGGTAAACTAACGTAACTATGGAAAATCACCATGCTATTATATGGGTAAATCCACTATAAAATTGCAATTTTCAATAGCTATGTTAAACTACCAGAGGGTATCCATAGAATATCCGTAGAACCCCTGATTTTCCCACCGGGAGCCTCCTCAGCGATGGGCGTCAAGGAGCGTTGGGCTTCCTGGCCGCGGGTGCTACATGGATGTTCCCCAACATCCAGCAACATCCATAATATTGCACATATGATACATATGATACATATGATACATATATGTATTATGTATACATATGTGTTGTTGATATTGCATTGATGTTTAGCAATTGTTTAGGCCATATAAGTTTTGATCCCCGGAGACTCCGATTACGACCATTGAAAATTGACACTTTGAAATGATCATGGCAATGTGGTGAACCTCCGCGTCAGCGACCACGGTTGCTGATGCGCTGAATTTGGTCACGGTGCTCTGCAAATATTTGCAGACCTGCATGGAAAGGAGCTCATTGAGTCCATGTTGGATGGGGATACCTTCGCCGGGTCCATGTGAAATACCGCAAACCTACAGTAGGATTTCTTTCTGTGTAGAGTTTCTATTCATTTCATGTGTTTACGATATCAGACGCTTCCATTTTTTTTGGCTCATTTGGGTTGTCGAAAAATTGTGTACCCCCAAATCCAATGGATTTGTTCATCATTTTCCCAATTTTTAATGGCCATTTAGAGGTATATCCCATTTTCAGAACCCATTTGGATCAAGTTTTGAGGGGAAAAATGTGACCCGGATAGGTCCATTGCTTCGCCTGTTTGAGATCCTCTGGGGGCAGCAGCGGTCCTTCCTTCAGTGTGTCTGATGCCTCAAGGAGCTTGGTGCACTGGGATGTGGTTCTCCATAGTTAGCTTTTATAGTGATGTCTGTCGTCAACCCAATGCCATTAGGGCCATAAACCATCCCCAAAGACTTCGCATTGGTTTGCTATTGGGTTGCCAACATTATACTATAGAGGTAGATTGAGGTATCAACTTATAACATCTTATAACTAGGGGCACCACAGTGATGGTCAGGGATGAATGGTGATCTGATGCAAAATGGTCTCAGCAGGCAATCCCTTCTCTCTAGTGACTCTAGGTGACATAGGAGGACACACTCCACCACGAAACCTGGTTCATTATTGGATCTATTCAAGTTGTAGGGCCAGATCGTTGAGTTCAGTAGGATGGATAACCCCATGGCCCACTTGGAAAAAACTCGGTTAAATCGCCACTTTCCTGGCGTCTCACAGGAATAGTCCCATAAATATCCATGAATCCCTTCCTTATCCTTCCTTTGTGGGTGGAATCTCGATGGGGTTGGAGGAAAACTTGCAGGCTTTTTTTTCCCCTACAACTCCTACAGCCAATGTATCCCCATGTGTGGCAAAAGATTAAAGTTAATTACTGATCTATATAAACTATCCAAGGTTGACCTAGACCCAGATCATATCTTGCTACCATTGGCTGACCAAGTTGTTAAAGACAAACCGGCTGCACACGTCCCCACCTTGATCTCCGGCCCGACATCGTTCCAGATCTGGCTGTGCGAAGACAAGCACTTCTGGATCAAGCTGACCAAATCTGTAAACTGGTTGCTGGGTTGCTAGGTTTAATAAAACCAACCGCAAATGGGGATATGGGATATATCGGATCTAATCATATTCATGTGATTTAGGGTTTGTCTCAAAATAGGGCGTTCCCGGTACCTCCAAATGGCAATTGAAGTGAGGAAAATCATACAGCTTCCGCTGGATTTGGACTCTTTGGACTGGTTCATAGGCTATGAACTTCATACCCTCTGGTTATGTCAAAATAGCTATTGAAAGTGGCCATAGAAATAGTGGATTTACCCATTGAAAATGGTGATTTTCCATAGTTATGTTAGTTTACCAGAGGGTAGTTCCAAGAAGTTCAAATCAAAGCAGCAAAATGAAGACGAGAGTAATTCCGATCATCATCCCGCATGATTTCACCATCAACCACCGGTGTGGCAGGGGACTGATCAGAAATCACCTTCATTTTGACAGAACAACAAAAACCTCGGCATGGTGCCGGCCTTGAATTGTGGCATGCACTACAAAATATAACAGAGATCATATGTGATAATAGTCCAACTGTTCCAATTATTCTCACACAACATTTAATTTTGTCATGTTTTAGCAAACAACTTTTAGCGTAGACGACTTGACCAATACCCCCGGTGCGCACACGCTTCGCTGCAGCCAACAGGTTGAACGCTGCTGGCGCAGAACCCGGGGAGTACGCCGCCATGTCGCGGCGGCAAATTGCTGAAATCTATGGAAATACTGTGTCAATCATAGAATGTCAATCCTCAACTTAATCTGCAAACGAACTGGAACAGCATGTCGCTTCCAGTTCGTACACTTTCAAGTATCAAATCCTTCCGACATTGAAATCGACATATAGCGAATGTTCATGCTTACCAGATCGTCTAGCATGGAGGGCCACACTTGGCCATGCTTTTATGGAAAGGTCCGTCGGCGACGGTCCGTCGGTCTGTTGAGAATTTTCTTCCCACCATCTTGCTCTTCCCGAACATGGAATGGTTTACCACAGGGAAAAAAAGACCTTAATTTTGTAGTTTTGTGGTCCCTTGGGCTTGTTGACCCAATTATCCAGTTGTAAGAGTGTTGTAAGGTATGACTTTGATCATTGCCATCTCAGATTGTCTGGCTGCAATCTTCCTAAGTTGACTTTTGCCTGGTAGATCATCGTGACCTACCGGAAAGATGTAAGGAAATGTCAACCACGTGGTGAAGTGAGACGAGGTTCAGGGAGGTGGGAGGACTCAGTCTTAGTTGTCATCGAACTTGAGAATTCACAATACTAATCCCTTCCCCTATTGCTATAAACACTAGGATCATAACGTTGATTCCCAGCAACTTTGAGATCTGTGGATGCATATGTGTCAAAATTCTCTTTGAACAAATGCAGAACAAGTTGAGGGAAATCATGGCAAATCCAAGTTTATGCAAAACCTTCACTGACCAGATCTCTCAAAATTCTGGTGCAAGTCATCCATCCAAGTTTCAAGTGTCCCAAGGGTCGACCGAAAAAAAAGTTAGTCTGAAAATGGGTTCATGCTTTTTCCATCTTTTTCCTAATCAAAATGGCTCCTTCGGGCCATGGCATAATTACATCCACTATGCATTGCTTCAATCACCCTGTTCGACATCTGTTGACCACGACTTTTCCTATGTTGATCCCTACTTGGGGTAAGTGGATACATTAGTTATAGGGGCTATATCCCAATTTATGGGGCTTATAAACAGCTTGTGCCGTATGCCCATAGATAACCTCAACTGCACCCCCAAGTACCATATGGAGGTTTCCTAAACTAGGCATACCCCCAAATCCGAAACTAGACCAATTTAGTATTGCAACATATGGGTTTGGGGTACCGTTTAAGGAAACCCCCAACTATAGATTCCACCATAGCAATCTATGGTTGCACCCATCATCAGCCGATTTTCCGCCCTCACGTCATGTAGGTTCCCTGGTGGCATGCAGCTGTAAGCCACCCACTTCTTCCACGCGCTGGCGTAGCCAATCAGCATCTTTGGCTGAGATCCTGACAAGGTAGTGACGGCTCAGATTTTGTTGGGGATTTCCATCAATTTTAGATCCAGTATATATATATATATATATATATATCCACCCCCTTTAAGGGGGGGGTGGGGGGGGTAAAAACTGAAATATTTCACTTTAGGGGGGTTCTCCCCCCCCCTAGAAATAGAAATATTTCACCTCCCTAAAGTGAAATATTTCAGCTCAAAAATTCTGGTCTATAATGGTCTCTGGGCGTGGTTGAATTCGAGGCTGAACGTCATGTTCTGAAGGCTGTTTGGCAAGTTCACTCTCTTCTACAATACTCACAAGCCTGTCTGTAAGTATGTTTGTGCCCCCCCCAAAAAAACAATATATATATATATTATACATATATGTCTGAAATGTGGCATCCGGAGGACCCCCCCCACGTCTTTTAGAAACCCAAAAAAACACGTGGGTGGGGGTATATTTCACGTCGTCAGGTGAACTATTTCTCAGAAATTTCATGCCTTACCCCCCTCCAAAAAAATCCAGGGTTAAAGGGGGGGGATATATATATATAAGTGCGCTTTGCAGATTTTCTGCGGAAAATTGATGATTTAACAATTTCAACACCATATTTCAAAGGATAACGGATTGTACCCTCTGGTAAACTACAGTAACAGTTTGCTATTGAACATGGCCATTTATAGTGGATTTACAAATGAAAAATGGTGATTTTCAAACAAACCAACAGTCTGTGATGGTCCCAGGGCTTGGTGTGACACCCATGTGGCCTTCGCCCATCCACGCGGACGTGATAGTCACGTTGCAGCAGGAACTCTGCAGAGGGCCAGAGTTGATGTGCCTCGGCCTCAGCGAGTTGACCATGGGCCAACCCTAGATACTAGATATCCTGTAAAGGAATGTAACATAATCACATATTATTATACATATTACATATTATTATATATTATTATATATTATTACATATATATATATATATATATATATTATTATAATTATATATTATTATATATTATTATAAATTATTATATATAATTATATATTATGCATTATTAGATATTATTACATATTTATTATTATATATTATTAAATATGATATATTGGTAGATATTATTATAAATTATTAAATATTATTTTACATTATTATATATTATCATATATTATTAAATATTACTATATATTTTTAGATATTATTATGTTTTGTTATATGTTCTTATTTATTATTACATATTATTATATATCATTATATATCATTATATATCTTTAAATATTATTATATATCATTAAATAACATTAGATATTATTCTCTATCATTAAATAACATTATATATCAGTATATATTATTATATATCATTAAATAACATTATATATCATTATGTTAAATTATTATATATTATATTCTTATATATTGACAAATATTGTATATTTTTGAATATGATTATATATTATTACATATTATTGAAGTTATCACATATCATTAAACATTATTATATATTATTATATATTATTAAATATCATTATATATGATTTTATATTATTATATCTGTATATATGTTATCATATATTATTGTATATTATTTTATATCATTATATATTATTATATCTACATATATGTATAGGTGTGTGTGTGTGTGTTGAACCTTTACAGGTTGGTAGTTTTGTAGAACCATTTCTATCAAACAAACTATCAAACCAAGATTGCCAGCTCTCGACTGCGAAGATTGCTTCACCTTGCTGGGGTGACCCACAGAATGCAGAATGACCACCTGTACCTGGACCACGGGGCATCGGCACAAGACACTTGCTGCTGCTACTGATGGCTGTTCTTGTTACCTAACCTCTAGTCTTGCTGTTGCCGTTTTTGCTTTTTATTGTTGTTACAGTTGTTGTGGTTGTAGCGATTGTTGCACTTGTTGCTTTTGTTCTTGTTGTTCTTGTTTTTCTTCTGTTCCTTGTCGACTGCAACAACCTTGGTGGGGAGGGTGCGGCAAATGCTTGAACCCTCCAAGCGTTGGTTGTGATTGTTGCCCCAAAGTCTGTGCTCCATTTTCCCTGTTCCATGAAGTATATAGTTGATCAGTTTGTTACAGAACAAATAGATTCACTATGTCCCAAGTCAGTTGCTGAACAGTCAGTCGATTTCAGGACAACCATCTATATTGCCCAAAGCAAAGTTCTTCTTATTTCTTGTGAGTTCCCTCAATCCCAACCTCAATTTCTGATTTTTAACGAGTTGACACATACTTGGTCAGAAACATCCAAACAACCCCTGTCCTGGTGCCTTTGACCCACAGCATCTTTCAGACCGATTGCCATTGATGATAACCATCATCATCATCATCATCATCATCATCATCATCCCAAGGTCTCAAAACATGAATAGATCCTGTACGAAGCCCGAGTTTTTCTGCGAAGTATTTCATATTAGTAGGATGGGAATTAGTGCATAATGTGTATATATATATATATATGCATACATACACATATTATGCATGCGTACACATATATAACACTTATATATATATATTATATATACTTGCCATGTATTTTTCACAATGTATACAATCGAATCTATAACCACACACAGCATTGGCAAAAGCTGCCGACCTGATTTTTCTCGAAGAGCTCGGAGGCACCGTCGAGGATTTGCCGTTCGCCGCCATTGGTATGGATTTTCAACACGTCCACCTGAACGCTGCCAAAACGTGAGGTGCGAATAGCTTCATTTAAGTGACATGGTCCAAAGATGGTTAATATGTTTCAATATAATATATGTAAATATAACTTATATATATATAATGGTAATAGTAATATATGGTAATATACAGTAAAACGGTTTATGATGGGTATTATAAATCCTTGTCAATGAATTGATATGGATTCATGGTCATTCCCCAATATGAGAAATAAACATCAATAAACCCCTGGGAATCCCCTGGTGAAGCCCCTAGTGGCTCGGATTTAGCCTTGGCAAAACAGGTGTTGATCCATCCCCCCTTTGACTAATCATAGCTGGCTGATGGTTTGTTTTAGCAGTTGATGGATGATCATAATCCACAATTCAACAATATTCAACAACAGTATAGCCTCTAAACAAATCATCAACCAACACACGTTTACCGAACACTCCTCACTTGGAAGGAAAGGTAAACACGACACGTGCCGAAACTACAGCAAAACACGTTGTTTGACCCACCTAGGATGTGGCAGGAACTTGTGAATTCAAAATTGGCTTCAGGATCATAATTCTTTCATATGTGTTCAATCTGTGTATCCAACGAACTCCAGTGTCTTCAAAGAACATGCACAGTAAAAAAAAAAAAACAACACTCAGTGAAAGGAATGCACCTCGAATCCTTTTGTTAATGCTCCATCAATCAAACCATTTCCCACATCTTTACTCGTGTTTATGTAGATTAGTAGGGAATGGGGGGACGACCACACTCACCATGAATAATCATCCCATGCCCTCAATTCCTACTAAGCACCAGAAAGTTTATTCCTCAAATATATGGGGCTTTCCTAAGATAGGGCTACCCCAGTTATCATCCATTTTATTTGGGATTTTCCATTCTAAACCATCCATGTTTATTCCTCGTGTCTCATGAATCACAGTCTCCCGGTCTCCCTTCGTCCCAGCAACATCCTCGTCCTTCAGCAAGGAGTCAATACCTCAATCCGCTGGGAAGGACTTGCTCTGGGGACGTTGGCGGAAGAGCTTGCGGTTGAGGTTATCAATGCGTATAACCATGGTAATAACCCCCTTCAGTTGGGATATCCATTTGATATACTCACTTTAACTATGTCATCATGATTTGTTGATTCACAAACCAACCCGTATTAGAATTTCACATTGACACATGTTTTTGACATTCATATATGCGTCGTCGTCACTCCGTCTCCAAAAAACAGGGTTCGCCCAGATCCAATGGCATACCCTGGCCCTATTCCTGGACGAAACAAGACCTGGAATTTGCAAGAAACTATTGATCCAGGTTTTGATCAAGGGACGCGTCTCGCACCACATGGACACATTCTACATTCAAGAAATGGAACCCTTTCCCATCTGGACATGGGTCAACAGCATATATATATATAATTATATATATATACATGTTTGTATATAGTATTACCTGTATATATCTATGTGGTTTTGTCTTTGTTGGTGAAACATCCAACCCTTAAATGGTCATTTCCAATCCCCTCAGTACCCCTGCGTTTCCAAGGGATGGAGACTCCACCTGCCATGTCGTTGTGGCCCACAGTCGGGCACAGAGATAATGTGATGGATGTATAAACACCACACACGTGTATATATATATATATTATTTATGAACACACATATTATTGTTGGTGTTCTTATTATTGTCATATTATATATATAACATATTAAACTATATATATATATCATATATATATATAAATTAAATATGTTATATATATATATTAGATATGCTATATATATATTGTATACAATATATTCTATATTTTATTTTAAATAACAATATAACATGTTATATTATATATATTAAATTGTTATTTATATTATATTAAATATGTCATATTATATATTTATGTATCTAAAATATTATATATATAGTTTATAGTATATATATATGCTATGATAATAATAATATATAAATAATATATGATATTATAAATAAAATAAGATATATATTATTTATAATATATCTCAACAAAAATATTTATATTAAATATTATTTATATTATATATTTTCTATTATATATAATATATTGTATATATATATATATCTAATATATATATATATATATTAATATACATTATATAATATATATATATATTATATTTTATATTATTAATATATACATATTAGGTATTATATATATTATATATTATATATAATATATAATATATTATATATTATATACTATATATTGTATATTTTATATATTATATATTATATATATTATATATTATTTATTATATAATATATATAACAACATATATACATATAATAACATATATGTATACATATATATATATACACATATTGTATTATTATATATGTCTACAATTACACGACCAGTACCCATAAAACACAGTGGATATCTATCAATCACTGCCCGTCACTACCCATGAACGATGCATGATTGTCAACAATATAATGTTTTTGTTCACAAATACCAACAAAATCCAACAAATACATACATACAGATTGCCCAGACTGACAATTTGGATTCTGGTTAGATAGGGTTTGGGCTGATGGTTACATCTTTTCAAACATGCATGCTAGAAACTTTGTGTGCTAAAGTGATACTTGACGCTGACCAATACTACGCGCGCAGAGGACACCAAAGGAAACGAGATTAGGCGCTCACTCTTCATTCATGATGATCATCGTCACATCTACCAAGCACCAGCACCGGCACTATCATAATTCTCCTCATCCTCATCCTGATTGCCATTATCATCAGCAGCACCATCACCATCTTCATCATCATCATGATCATCATCCCCATCATGATCATGATCATCATCAGCATCATCATCCTGATACTCATCTGTCAAAATGCTGCTCAAACTAATGCAACATGACAAGAGGTCAAACAACAAATGTTTCCTCCAGCAGAGTCCTGATTGTTTTGGACAGAAACACGGATCGGGGCGCACATATACTTATATATTATTTATATATCTCGGCTACACCCAACACTGATAGGGATATTTCAAAAACACGAAAGGGGTATACTACAACCTACGGCAATGGGTACATGAATGCAAATGAACGCAGGCATAACAAACAAAACCAAGGTTGCAGTCGGTAGTCAAAAATACAAATACAACAAACACACAATTTCAGTTCTGTTATGGCACATCCATGCCTTTGAAAACATTGAAAACATAGACCGTGAGGAAGGTAACTCATCATCACTTGATTCCTTGGCTTAGGAAATCTCACAACCCTGGAACTCTACACCTTTTAGGTCGGTGGCCCCTGGATGTGAAGCAACAACAGCCTGAAAAAAACACGTCAAATCACAGAATCAATGCATCCCTGCAACAAAAACCCAAAGAAAAATGCACCCTAGATTCAAGAAAGCAGGAACACAGTTTGCACACTGTTTGTGTCCAAAACCCCCTACCCCTTAGCCTTTGTCAACATCTTCCTTTCCCAGGAAAGCATGGTGTAAATCCTAGGCGACATACGAGCAGAGGCAAAACCAATGTGGGGGGCAAATGGTTTCTTGTTTCGGAATACTGGAGGCACTGGATACATTCTTCTCGGGGGTATAAAACACATGAAAATCATGAAAACATTTGGCATATTGGGATATTGGGCTATTGGGCGAGAAAATTCCGGGATTTTTTTCTGGGAGACCTCCAATGGATCAATGGGAGGCCATTGGAATTCCAGACATTTCGCCATAACCTCTGTGGATTTTTTTGGGATGGCCATCTCGAAGAAATTCATGGACAAAAGAAGCCTCCAATGGGTTACCCTGGATAAACCCGGGAGTAACCAACAAGATATTTATATATACAGTATACATATGTCAAACAACAACATGCGGTTGTGACTAAAACCACTGGGATCAAAACCAACAAAATATGGGGTTGTGAGTTATCAGTAGCTATGAGATGCTATGATTTGTATGCAAAACACATCTTACATTTACGGGGATATCAACCAACAAACGATAGTTTCTGGTTGAGGACTTTCAGACCTCCCCGTTGATAGTGCAAGAGAACAAGCAGAGTGATAGAAGTCCCAATTGACCAAGCAGTGCATGAGGAAATTCCAGCGAGACGGTTTCATATTGGATCTGCTCATAATTTGTGGTATTCATATCATATCAATATGTATATATATATATGGGGGTTGTCCAAAATACCTTTTCCCGGACAGCCCTCAATCGCTCAGCCAATCGCGTAGCAACCGCGGTACCACAGTGAGCAATCGCGGAAGGGTTTGTTCTTCGTTGATCAGGTCATACACATAAAATATATGTTATGTATTATATAATGAGGATCCATGCGTGAACGCATTCGATTTCAAATTTGGGAACAAAATAAGCTCGCGCGGTCCGGAAACGGTCCGGAAAACTCACAGTAGTACCAGCAGCAGTAGTACTAGTAGTACTAGTAGTACTAGTAGTACTAGTAGTACTAGTAGTACTAGTCGTACTAGTAGGTAGTAGTAGTAGTAGTAGTAGTAGTAGTAGGAGGGGTAAGAGTAGGAGTAGGAGTAGGAATAGGAGAAGGAGTTCTAGTAGCAGGGCAAGGGAAGAAAGGGAGAGGGAGGGAAAGAGAGAAAGAGAGAGAGAGAGGGAGGGGGAAACAGATGGTTGCGTTTGACCGGTTTCTGACGGGTTTCTGACTGGTTTCTGACTGGTTTCTGACTCGTTTCTGACCCTTCAGCGGAACTCGTGTCAATTGGATTTAAAAGCAAGAGCAGAAATTCCTAGGTGTACTAGTGGTAGTGGTGGTGCAGTAGCAGCGGGTGTGGTGGTAGTACTAAGAGTAGTAGCAAATCTAGTAGTGGGAGTAAGGATCCATGCGTGAACGCATTCGATTTCAAATTTGGAAGCAAAATAAGCTTGCGCGGTCCGGAAACGGTCCGGAAAACTCACAGTAGTACCAGCAGGACTAGCAGTAGCAGTAGCACTAGCAGTAGTGGTA